AAAAAAAATATATATATATGTATATATATATATACATATATATGTATATATGTATGTATGTATGTATGTATGTATGTATATATATATCTCAATAGCAATAAATCTTTAGTTACCGTTACCAGGAACTACACAATGCATATGATTAAAACTGATGTACACAAAGAAAATACTATGAAAGGTTGACATGCAATGTTCTATTTTTTTTTTTTTTTTAAATGGTACTGGAGATCAAACTTAGGACCTTGCGCCTGCAGGCGTGGTGCCACTGAGCTAAATCCCCAACCCATGTTCTATTTTAATTTTAAAATCTTGAAACTGTAGATGATTTGCTAGAAAAAGAAAATTATTAAATTTGCCTTTTTAAGAGGCAGAAAACCTGAGAGGCAGCTCTGCCACTTGCTAGCAGGTATCCCTGGAAAAGAGACTCTATGCTTCAGTCACCTAAACTGTAATAATATAGGGATCCTAAATCATTTTCAAGGGCTGTTAGGGTCAGATGAGATCATACTCAGTACAAATGATAGACTGAGGAAGATGTTTATAATACATAAGTAGAGCTCCTGAAAAGTAACAAGAAAAAATGACTATCCACTGCAAAAGCATTTACAATAGTAAAACACTAAATATAAGATGGTATCCTAAGAAATGAGGGATTTCTTTAAATATATTAGTAGCTATACAAAGAAATCTAATGCAGATGTTATATTTGTTAATTCTTTAGTGGTTTTCTGAGATAAGGTCTCACTACGTAGTTCAGGCAGGACTTAAACTTGCAGTGATCCTCAGCTTCAGCTGCCTGAGTGCTGAGATTACAGGCATGCACCACCATGCCTGGTTATAATACAGATATTTTAAAAGTAACACTTAGGAGATTCTTTAATGAGCATGGGGAAATGTGTCAGATTTAGTAAGAGAAAAAAGTAGGTTTTAAAATATGACTATATATACATCAGAGTCTTAGGTGAGGCCTACAATTATACAAGCAGGGGTCACATGCACTTTGGTGAGTGAGATACGTGACTTTCACCAGATTCATAAAGATATTCATGATTCTAAAAAGATGAATACGTTGCCACAGGCCTGAACCACATGCATGACTTAACATCAGATAATGGAATTCAAACCAGAGCCTCCCAGCAGCAAGACGCAAATTATGGCCCTGTCATGACTGTGTTAGTGCCTAATAGACATCAATGCCATAACCCTGTGCTATCCCTTGGTGGTGAGATCACAGGGGATATATGATAAACATGTATAATTTGTAATATAAGATGTATAATTAATAAATAGGAAAATAAGTCTCATTATTGCTTCTATAATTAAAAACTCATTAAAAATATCTTCCTTACCCTCAAAGCAAACACACAAACACAGTTTAGAATTTCTAGATATCAGACAGAAAATCTAATTCTTAGAATTCCTCAAGTTAGCCTAAAAGTCTCCGCATTGACAAAAGATCACCAGAGTGCTGTTCCTCAAATTCAGAAATACTGACGCATGCCACATCCCAGCCTAGGGAGAAAAAGCCCTGCATGTTACTGACAGATGAGTCTCACCACTTTCATTCAAACTGATCCTAGCACTTCCTCTGTTCTTTTTTGATTGACAACTTTTGAATGAGGGAAGACAGGAGTTACTGCTTGGGGCAGGGTTCCCCAGTATGTTAGTGCTACCTGTGGAGAAGACAACAGTGTTCGGTGACAACAGTGAATCTCGTGTATTGGGTATGCTCCATACTCACCAGTTCCAGCAGAAAACGAGGAAGTGGCAAAAGCATCACCCTGGGTCACCTGGAAGCCTGGGATCAAACTCTCTGCTGAACCACCAAGCTTGTCAGGATGCTTGCCTGGAAGGACAAAGCACTGCTAGGTTCATTCTAGCAGAATCCCGAGACACACACATGCAGCAAGGGTGCAGGGCAATCTCTGACTGCCTTCTACGCTGGACTCCTTTTACTGAACTATGGCAACACCTGGGCTATCCAAAGGTCCTTTTTAGACCCTGCAATAACTAAGAAAAGGAAGAAGATTTAAGAGTCAAGAGACTGCACATCAGTTTTATAAGATGAGAAGAGTTCTAGAGAAGGGTCATGCAACGGTGAATTCTACTGAACTAGATGCTTAAAAAAGGTTAAAATGGCAAATATTGTGTTACATGTATTATAAAAAAAAATTTTTTAAGGTGAATAAATGAAAAGAAAAAGAAATGAGAGACCACAGAACTAAAGTGTTACAGCTCAAGCACATTCCTCAGATCAGAATGCCTTTGACCCTCACTTGGAATCTTATTTTTCTGGTATGGGGAATCAAATTTAGGACCTTGTACTTGCAAGGCAGGCATTGGAACTGCTGAGCTAAATCCCCTTTTATTTTTATTTTGCTTTTTTTGGGGGGGGTACTTGGCCCTTTGCGCTTGCGAGACAGGTGGTAGAACCACAGAACCAAATCCCTGGCCCTGCTTTTATTTTTATGTAACTCCAATGTGATGATCTGTGCTCATGTAGGAAGCAGCTTGGGAAAGGAGAAGAGGGAGTGGTGGAGGTGGCAGTAGTGAGATGCTATGAAGGACAGGTATAATGGCAGTAGTGTTATATGAAAGCCAAGAGATGAACAGCAAGAAGAGAGACAACTAATTATTAAAAACAGGAGAATTTTAAAATTTGGGAGCTAGTTAGGCACAAAAAAATGAGTTTCCAATAATCCTTAAAGATATTTCTGTTTATGGTCCAGAATATGAACTGGTACAAACAACATTAAAAGTGAGTTATCAAATAAAGTCAAACCCTATGTCCTTATCTTCTGGCAGAAAGAAATATGGGTTCTTAAACACTGCTATAAAAGTAACAGTCAAAGTAACACATTTGGTCAACAGTGCAAATCATTCACTTGGTTCTGACCATTCCTATTCTTGTGAAAACTGAGGGAACTCTTTTCCAATTGCATATCACAAAATTTTTCTCAGATGTATCTATTGTTCCAAAGTGTGTACAAGTACATATGTGCCTGGCCTTCCATTTTAGATTGTGAATTTTGAGAAGAAAAGTGTATCTCTTTATATTTTGGCAGCAGTAGAGATTGAACCTAAGATCTTGTGCATGCTAGGCAAGACCACTGAGCTACAATCCAGCATTTTTATTATTCTATTTTGAGACAGGGCCTTGCCACAGCTTCCTAAGTAGCTGGGATTATAAGCAAGCACCAGCATATTCAGCCACAATTTCACCTTTGATTTACAAAATCTTTTTCTGTATCAATCAACAATGATACAAAACTATGATCATAGAGATTCAGCATCCATGTGAAAGCACACTCTCATGGACAAGCAGCCACTACTTTTGGGGACAATAAAACAAAGTGGGAGGAGGAGGAGATCATCATACCCCTCCAAGGAGTAACTCTGCTTGATAGCATTATCCTGATTTATGCCACTGCATCGCTCCTCAAAGTTTCCTCTCTGTAGGGAGATAGGTCTTTTGCAAAAGGGAAAGAGACCAAGAGATGGAGGGAGGAGGGAAAAGGGGAGGGGAAGGAGATGAAAGAATTAAGTTGTGTTATGTACAGGTACCAACTCCCCATGATGAATCTAAGCATTATGTACGCAAATGTGTACCAATAAACATTACTAAAAAAGAAGAATAAAACTGGAGTTGTGTCAAGTCTAACAAACAAATGAAGTAGAAGCTTTGAAGGAGTAGGTCTCGTGAATATAAGGCTGCTAACAAGAACTTAAAGACTAGTCACAAAAGACTGCTACATCTGCAGTGTGGCACAAGGCCACCACTACCTTTCGCAAAAAAAGGACTCCCACAAGGACATCTGCACAGCAGTTGCCTGTTTAAGCTCAAACTGGCATCACCCTTGTTACTATATTCTGGTCAAATATTACTGTTTCAAAATATCTTGTGTAAGTCTTCTCATTTCATCTTTCTTTTGTTTTGTTTTGTTTTCCTTTTATTGAGTTTATTGATACAATCTAGGTCTACAATACAGTTACATTCATTACTGGGATCCTGTACCTTTACATGACAGTTCTTGGTTCTCATTTTTTCCCTTTGTCCCTGCCCTCCCTTCACCCCCTCCTCCCCTCCCCATTTACAAACTCTCCATTTCCATTTTTTCATTTTCTCATTTCATCTTTAATAACTTTCTCTTGCCTCAACCTCCTTAAATTTGCTTGTGATTTAGTATGGCTTGCATATTTCCATTGCAATGCTATTTTTCTCCAAATAAATGTAATTATTGTTTGTTTGTTTTTTTTTAAAGTATCGCTCCTTGCTGCCACCTACAACAGGTCAAGATTTCCTAAAGATGAAAAGGTACTGTGATAAAAATAAAAGTTGGTTTGTACACATCCCTGGAAATCAAGCCTTTGAGGAACAGGCCCAAGCTGACATGTGCACAAGCACAACTCTCTGAAGCCAGAATTCATTCTAACTCCTGCTTATTTCTGAGTAAGAAAATTCACAACCAAAAATCACAGAAAAAGACTTGAATGGGAAATGCTAATCAAAACTACATTAAGATTTCACTGCATGCCAGTCAGAATGGCTATCATCAGGAATACAAAAAAACAATAAATGCAAGGATTTGACAAAAAGGAACCCTTCTTAAACTGCTGATTTAAACCATGAAATCAGTATGGAGCTTCCTCAAAAGACTAAAAATACAGGTACTATTTGATACAGCTATCACTCCTTGGCATATACCCAAAGGTATTAAAGTCGGATACCTGGATACTAGCATGTTTACTATGGCAAAATATACAATAGTCAGAGCCATGGATATAGCTCAGTGGTTCCACTGCCTGCTTCACAAGTGCAAGGGCCCGAGTTCGATCCCCAGTATAAAAAAAAAACACCCCAAAACAAAATATACAATAGTCATGATATGGAACCAGCCTAGGTATCTATGAACAGATAGGTGGATAAAGGAAAAAAAAAAAAAAAGGTACATATACACAGTGAAGTATTATTCAGCCACAAAAAGTAAACATTTGTCATCTTCAGAAAAAGGATGGATCTGGAGATAGTCATGTTGAGTGAAATAAGCCAGACTCAGAAAGACACATATTGCAGGTTCTCCCTAATCTGTGGAATCTACAAAGATAACAGGAAAGGAGACTATTATTGGGTTAAGAGGAAGGCAATGTGTGTGTGGGGTGTAAGGATATGTAACAGAGCAGATGAATACGATCAAGATACACTATACACATTGGAACCACTCCCTCCAAAAGGTGAAACTAGAGGGTAGGGTGGGGTGAGAGGGCAATGGGAGAGACAAATGATCAAAATATGTTATGTGCATGTACAAGTGAAGTCTATTAATCTGTATGACCAATATACACTGATAAAAAAATAGGAAAAAAATGATTTCCTCACCTTCTCCCAGCTTGGCAAAATCCTTGTTTAGCAGTTCTTCAGCTGTGAGCTTGGAGAAGTTGTCATCATCGAAGGGATTCCATGTAGAACCTTCTGAAGGGTTATAGACATTTTGCTGGGAGGTCCGAGGAGAGCCTGACGGAGTGGTGGTTGCAGACCTAGGTAGGTTCCCACCCCCATGAAATAAAAAAGCATATAAAAGTTGAACAAAACAAAAAGGGCCAAACTCTTGGCTCCAGGATCCAATCCTTTTCTAAGTTAAAACATAATTTTTCACTGTGTTTATCTAAAAGGCCTTTGTACTAAAACTGAAGTTTCCACATTTTCCCTTTCCACTCTGTGAAATTAGCATCTCTTCCTTCGTAACTCCTATGTTTTCCACTACTTCTCTAATTTCCTGCTTAGTTTTTCAGTCTCATCTGCAAGGCCTTTTAAATCAGGATCCCTCAGCAACATGTTTTTAGGCTTACGCATCCTTTGGTGGTGATCCTAACGTCTACCACAACAGACTTCTGAAAGGCTAGGACTAAGGTCTATTTAAGCTGCCCTTCATCTTTCAGGATCTAGCATGCCCAGCTTTAAGGGTCACCACCACAAGCAGAAATAAAGATAGTTACCACTGTTCTGTGTGTTTAGGTATCATTATCTAATTTTCTCTTAGCCTTCTTTGACTTAATGATTCAACTTTAGAGTACATGGTGCCAAGATAGTTGAGGGTGTGAAAATGCATTTACTCCATCAAAATCTACTTTATATTAGGCACAGAGCAGCTACTGTGTTTAAAAAGGATAACTAAAACAAAAATCTTTGTCTTGCAGAACTCGTAGGGTACATTAGCCAGACATATAAACAATTAATGATAAAGCAATGTGATACATGCTCAAAAAATCAGATAAAATGATAACAAAGGAAAGGTTAAAGAAAAGGTTATCTCTAACATGGATCTTGAAGAATAAATGAGCATTTCTTTGGGGACAGGAGAAAAGCAGTCCCAGGAGACAGCACAATTTAAGCCAAAGGTTTATGAAGGTGGAAAGTCATGCGTGTGTCTAACAGGACTTGCTGAGGTAACCAGTGGGTTCAGATATCATCCTATAAGCAATAGGGGTAAATAAAAGACTTTCAGGATGCATGCAGAGCTTGGTCGTATTGGGAGTTTAGAAAATACTATACTCTGCAGAGCATGAAACACACACAAGACAACAAAAACAGTGGGCCAGGTAGGAAATTATTTCTTATGATCAGTCTGGTACACATACAAATGCATGCTTTATACTACAGACAAATGCCTAGTTTCCTTGCAATACAGACATGATGCACTACTATACATTTATGTACATACACATATACTTATGCAAAGAACCACACAATAACAGCCTGGGGCAGATGTTTCCCACAGGGTAAGAAGAACAAAGGGGAAGCACTACATACTTGGACTTATTTAGACTGGCCTCAGCTGCAGCTGCCTGGAGCAGCTGGGTCGATTTGCTGGCAGGGACCCCAAAGACTGCACTGTGCGTTACATCACTGAGAATTCTCCTGTGCCCAGCACGCTGAGTTTTGGGGGATGATGGAGGAGTGAGAGATCCAACTTTCTGCCCCTGGATGGTAGGAGGCGGGGTTGTCTGAACCTTTGGCTGTTGTCTTACTGGGGCTTGAATCTGCTAGGGAGAAAGATGGAAAATGTTTCATTATTTTCTTTAAAAAGGAAGAAAAGGAAAACAAACAAACACATATGCATAACAAAAAAATGCCACATGAATGCTAACATAGGACTCCAGTGGCTAAGTTTAGTGACAACAGCCAGGAAGAAAAAAACAGACTGATAATCTGAGCTGCCACTCAGAGACTGATGCCAACAGGGTATTTGCCTGGTACTTACACATAAATGGAGTCTTCATGAGCAATAATAATAATATATAGGGTAACCACATAAATCTAGCTCAAAGCTTTAGCCTGCAGAAGATTTTCTTAGTTCTAAAGATCAAGACTACATATGAAAGGACCTCCTTCTGCTTCTGGGGTCACAGTAACTTGTTCAAAATGCTCCCAAAGTGCAGGCAATTAATCTTATCATTTACTGCAGTCAGATGCCAAAGAAGACACACTATCAGCTACAGTGCATTTAAGCTGAACGATTTCTGCTAAGAGGCCCTGACTCTCTGGTATCGTCAAGGCTGCCAGTCAGGAGTGAATCAGACAAAATTCTACTGCGACTGAAACATGGTAGTACTTTTTTTTGTTTTGTTACTGAGGCTCTTTTCATTGATAGGATGGGTCTATAAGATCCTATTTCTATGGCAACCTCTGAGAAAATGTATAACACTGATTTATTGAAGTTTTCTTGTTCTAATTTTCAGTTTAGGAACATTATTGAAGAGGTAGCAGAAAATATAAGAAAGAAAAAATACTTTTAAATGACTGAATACACAAGGACTTTCGAGATGTGGGCCATTTTCAGAATGAAGGCCAAATTACAGAATAATAAGTGGAAACCTCCTTGTGACCACATGCATGGTCCTTACGTACAAACCACCTGCATCAAGGAAAGCTCTAAAAGGTTTGCCATCACTGATGTAGGGTATCAGATGCCCTGGGATTTAACCATTCCTTCTGCCACTCCCTCCTTTCAGGTTGGAGTAGCCTAGTACACTGCAGCTCAGCTCCCACATTCTGCTTCTTCAAGGGCAGGTCTTGGGAGAGCTAAGGAACCAGCCTCAGAATATCCAGCTACTTGGGTCAGGACGCTTATGACATAGGGGGAGGCCTATCTGCATGTGGTCCTCAGGACTCAGAACACTCATGTACCTGTGCTAGTATACCGACTACTTTGCCAACAGACTGAATGACAAAACAATGTTTTAGTACCAATCCAACTAAGACAAGAAGGGTAATAAAGCTGCCTTGCTGAGGGAGAAGCAAAGTGCTCTCTAGAGACAAGAGCTCTGGCTCTACAACAACCTTTAAGGGTCTAGAGCTGCACTTGCCAGCATTTCCAGGGGCCAGAGGGCTTTGTGGACAGAGTGGATTGGCTAATCTCATAAGACATTCACTACTCTGAAAAATACTTCACTGTTGATCCCTTTATGATGAAGAGCCCATAATACTTGGAAGACATTTTCCCTCCTCTTACCTATTCTCCATATGTAGCACACTGAAGAAGCAGTGCCTCTTTCCCCTATACCAGCAATCCCAACCCCCTACCCCATGCTAGGGATGGAACCCAGGGCCTCATGCATGCTAGGTAAGCAACGTACCACTGAGTTACGTCCTGAGTCCAGCCACAGGGTGAATATTTCCTTCTTTAAAATTTTATTAGTACATCCCTTGCAGTACATGAAGTTTACATTTATTTTAGGGAGTCGGTACATGTATATAACAGACTTTGATTCTTTTTTAATCTCTTTGCCCTCCTCACCCACTTTACTCCCTCTATAAATCCACTTTCACCATTTTCATTATTATTGCTATTGTTACTATTTTTATTTTCAGTTCATGTTTACATTCGTTGTGGGTATTTGGTATGTACAGATACAGCTTAAATCTTTTTACCTCCCCTTCCCCTTGGGTTGAACTTTTCGAATCTGAAAATCTGGAATCCCAAATACTCCAAAATTCAAATTTTGAGCACCAACATGATACCACATACAGAAAATACCATATTTGACTTCATGTAACTGGTGGCAGTTAAAACACAAGTGCACCAAAAATACTGTATAAAATTACCTTCAGGCTTCATGTTTAAGTACATATGAAACGAATGTCATGTTTAAACTTGGGTTCTATCCCTAAGATATCTCCTTTGTGTTAAATCTTTCAAACTCTAAAACACTTTCGGTCCCAAACATTTTGGACAAAGAAGACTCAGTCTGTAATACAAAGCAGCTGTAACTTGTTTGGTTACTGTTCACAATAAATCTGTTAGGCAGTTTTATTTCCATTTGGAATCAAAGAACGTGAGCTAAAAGGGATGTCAGAGATGATTCCAAATCCTCCACTTGAGGAGAAGACCACAGCCCACTGAGGCTAAGAGCTCATTCAAGGTCACAAGATGACCTGAAAGAAGAATCCATGCCTCTTGGCTGCCTCTCAGGTCTCTTCAACACCAAGATACTTCCTCATCCAAAGACAGGATTAGGAAGGTGGAGGAAGAAGAGTCAGATCATGGGAGAAATGATGAAAAGGAGACTCTGGCACCTATCTTGCAGAAGGCTTTTAAAAACACAAAATGCGCCAGGCGTGGTGGTGCATGCCTGTAATCCCAGCACTCGGGAGGCTGAGGCAGGAGGATCGCTGTGAGTTCGAGACCAGCCTGAACTATATAGTGAGTTCCAGGTCAAGCTCAACTACATAGTGAGACACTGTCGCAAAAAAGCAAAAAAAAAAAACCAAAAACAACAACAACAACAAAAAAAACCCCAAAAATGTATAATCACATAAAAAAAAGTTAGAATATAGAGGAGAGTATACCATTTGATCACTACTATTCTTATCTTTGTGGGTCCTTAAAGATGCCTCTTTTCAAGTACATACTTTTTCCTATTTCACAACTCTTGTGACATTACCTTATGAGTGTTTTTTCCCCACACGATTATACAGACTTTATGATCGTGATTGTAGTGGCTGCCCAGCTGGGCTTCTAAATAATCTTTGGGCTATTAATAGTAAGAGTGCAATGAACACTGAGTGCAGATGGCCATTTTCCCTTTGTCATTTACTGCTTCAAGATGCCACAGGGTGTTCCTCAAATTCACTCACCTGCTTTTCTATGTTGTTTTTGTTTTTTTCAGTACTGAACCTAGTGCCTCATGCATGCTAGGCAAGTACTCTTACCAGTGAACTACATCGCTAGCACCTCATGAATCAGCAAGACGGGGATGGGCAAAGATGGACAGTTCTATGGCTCCTGGTTGGAGCACAGTCTGTTCCTATATTCTGTATCCCACATCCCCTAAATCAACTATCCCACAAGCACACTGCTCAAAGTGCTTCTTCATCCAGGAAACATGGAAAAGGTTTATGCTTCATTCCTAAGACAGAAGACACTTTGTCCAGGGAAAGCAGAGGGGAACCTCATAAGAAGTGTAATCAGTATCAATTGGTCAACTTATCACCCTGGACAAGTATCTTTAAACACAGATCAGGATTCTTTGGTTTTGCCCTGGCTTTGTTATTGTCATTCTGTATGCCTCGGGCAGTCACTTGCTAGTTTGGCTGGTTTTCAATTCCATAAAATGAGATGATAAAACTGGATAATTAAGATCCTTCTAGGGCTGGGGATTTAGCTCAGCGGTTCGGTAGCCTGCCTTGCAAGAGCAAGGACCCGAGTTCAATCCCCGGTACCAAAAAAACAAAAAGATCCTTCTCAGTCAGGAATACTAGTGCATGCCTGTAATCCCTCAGCACTCTGGAAGGCTGAGATAGGAGGATTACAAATTTGAGATCAGCACAGGTAACTTAGTGAGCTACTGTCTCAAAATAAAAAATTTTTAAATGGCTGGGGAGACAGTGGTACTGAGTTCAATCTTCAGCCTAAATTGTTCAGGTATCCCTCCTCCCCTTCTAGCCAGCTACTTCATATGATAATTTAAAAAAAAATTTTTTTCACCAATCAGGAGAATGTTCTTTTGTTAAAAATATAAACAGGAACTGTCTACCACACAACTGTAAGAAGACTGTGTTGTTTCCAGGAATAAAGGTGTAAAGACATTGAATGCACACTTAGCTGAGATTTTAAAAAGACAACCTATTTCTGGTATTGCTTCCTTTTGAAGAGATGGAGGTTTTCCAGTGTAAGATGGGGGACACACCCTATTAAAAATCAATCCTCAGAAAGATGGCTTCTTACCTTTCCTTCATTCATCTAGTAGTTGGACTTTCCTAGGAATAAGAGAGGAGCTGTGATGCTCTATTGCTGGGTTTGCAAATTGCCTTTCTCTATTACTATAGGATTTTCTACTGTGTTCACTCAGAAAACTCTGAGTCTAGGACAAAGGTCACTTATTAACAGTCAAAGCAAGAGTGCGTGAGTAAACTGAAACCTAGAGGTCAGTCAGGAGATGGCTCTAATGTTATATTCAGCCATTATCTAAAAGTGAACATACCTGGCTTCTAAATTGACAGGATGCTCCAAGGATGGACACACAGATGCTCATCGTGCTATGGTAAGTGGTCTCGGGAAAGCAGACCCTTGAAGGGTGCTGCATGGTAGACTCAGTTGATGTGGCTAGTAAGGCCATTCGAGACAAGATAAACACAACAGTGCAAGGACTCAGCATAAAGGTGGGAGCCCAGGTAAACCTCCACAGGCTGGGAAGGGCATAACAGATCAAACCGGCCCTTGAAGAAGGGAAAGAGATTAGTTCTAATCCTAGATCCTTGAGTGTTCCACAGTGGCAAGAGACAAGAGACAATGAACAGCTTTTCCTAGCAGCCTAGTTTCATGGTGATAAATAAGAATGTTCCTCTTCATCAGTAGCCTATAATCATTTTTTTTTAAAGCACTACTTCCTGTCGAATACCTCACACTGCTCTGGGATGTCAAGAAAAGACTAATATTTTAAGCAGTAGGAGGCCCCCTCACAGTGGCTGCCGCCTCTCTTCTGCCGCTTTCCCTATCCCTCAATGCACAGCCTTCTTCTGCCTTTGTACTGAGCCCTGGCTGCTTCTTACCGTAGGCTCCTGGGCAGGGGCTGGCTGCGGGGCTGCAACGGGCTGTGCCTGGGGCTGTGGGACCACCACTGCGGTCTTGGCCTGCAGGGCAGCCTGCTGAGTCATCGGCTGTTGTTGGTGCAGGGCTGTGGCCAGGTGCGGCTGCTGCTGTTGCTGCTGCTGCTGCTGCTGCTGCTGCTGTTGCTGCTGCTGCTGCTGCTGATAGAAGTTCTGTATCAACTGCTGCTGAGAGCCTCCCTGGGATACCACAGGGAACTGAGCTATCGCTGCTTGCTGGCTTGCTGGATGTACTGCCTGGAACTGAGCAGGAGAGAATGGCAAGACATGAGGAGGAGAGCAAGAAGCCACTGCAGAACCACTTTCACAAGTGACAAATGAGTGCCTCGATAACAAGGGAGGCCGGCATTGCAGGCAAAGACAAGGGTGGGAAGAAGGTTTTTAGTCAAACTTGGAACCTTATGACAGGATCTTCAGGGCATTAAATAAATTCAACAGCGCCTTACAGTGCAAGGCCCTTCCTGCTGCACTAACCTGGCCTCCCTAGGGTTTCCAGGACTAGCCCAAGGGAAGCTCTCTGATGAACATCATATGACTCCACCATAACATAGAAAAATAATCATTCAAGGACAGATGGAATTCTTCCTATAAAGAATTTTGAAGCAGCCAAAATTAAAATAATTCCTCGTGTGAGGAGAATAAAGCAATGATGACATTGAAAAGAATAACCTAAATGTTAACCCAGCTATTGAAACTTTTCAAGCTTTTCTCAAAATTATTTCCCAACAGACCTATCTTCGTGAAATCCAGCCATACATTCAACATGTTTAGTACACTCTATGATACCACTTCTTCCTCCCGCTCCTCCTGTTCCTCCTCTCTTTTTTCCCCCTTTTAGATTGGTGAGGAGGGTCTTACCTGTTTTGCCAGGACTCATTTTGAGTTTGTGGGCTCAAGCAATCCTCCTGCCTCAACTTCCCTACCTGCCTGTCTTGTTGTTGAGAGGATCTTGCCCAGACTGGTTTCAAGCTCCTGGAATCAAGTAATCCTTCAGCCTCAGCCTCCTAGGTACCTAGGACTACGGAGGCACCATTATGCCCAGTTTTATGACATAATTTTTATGTCCCTCTTATCCCCACTGCTAGGGATTATGTGCCATGTGCACACAAAAAGAACTCAAAATAAGGGCCTGTTCAAAGTAAGGTGAAAAAAGTCAAAATCTTGTTTTGGAACACCCTAAATTCTGTTACTTCACTACAGAGTTAATTGAGAGGATACTGTTTATCTTCTGGGGCAAAGTTAAAGGGTTAACAAAAGAAGGAGATGTCAAAATAGCTGTCTTATTTATAATAACAAAATGCTGGAAATAACCCAAATGTTGAGGAGCCTGAACTATGATAAATCCCGAAGGGCATCAAATGGACACTCTCAAGTTGTAAACAGGAATGAAGGATACCTCTCCTTAAGGATTAAAAAGAATAGAATTTTGTAGATTTAATTGTTAAACTATGTATGATTTACATATTTTGAAAATAAAGCCAGGCATGGTGGCGCAAGCCTGTAATCCCAGCACTTCGGAGGCTGAGGCAGGAGGATTGCTGTGAGTTCGAGACCAGCCTGGGCTACAAAGTGAGTTCCAGGTCAGTCTCAACTACCTAGTGAGACCCTGTCTCAATCCCCCCCAAAAAAAATTTAAACCAAAGTTTTAAAAATAATAAATAAAAAGCAAAAGCAAAATGAAGCAAATAAACTTGTCCATAAAACTGGTAGACTTGGGACCAGGGATGTAGCTCAGTGGTTCCACTGTCCACATCACAAGCAAGATGACCAGAGTTTAATCCTAAACCCCGGAAAAAAAAAAAAAAAAAAAAAAAAAAATGGTAGACTCCCCAGAAAATACTGTGTTAAGCATTCTAAGGGTAAAAAGGGAGGATAAATCCTAAATTTTTTAAAAATAATATTGCTATGATTATCCTGAAACTAAAAATCAATTAATTATGTTAGTGCTGTTAGGCATCAAGATCTCAGATAAGAAAAACACAACAAAGTCCAAGAAGCTAAGCAGAAATCCTATAATTATAAATCTGAATTAGAAGGATAATTGAATTCATGATGTGTATTTTCTAATAAAACAAAACACATTTTCCAGTTGAAACAGCCTAAACACAACCACACACTCATTAGTGAATATCTCTAGCACCAAACTATGGTTTCTAAATATCATTTCTATCTAAACAAACTCTCCTTAGAGAAATGGATGCTTCCAGGTTGAGGCACAATGATCCTAGAACAAGTTGTTGCGCTCGATGACAAGGGAATCATAAAAGACTCCTGGAATCTCATCCAAAGGACCCAAAAGACTATTTGAATGGACCTTCCCTGGCCAAAGTTAGGACCACTAGAACATCAAAATAAATAAGCCTTTTAAAAACTGCTATGTATTGAAAGATATGAAGTACATTAAAACCCATGAATTTATGATAACACAAAACAAAAACCTCACGGTCACCTTTGGATGATATAATGAACAAACTCATCTTCTGAAAACTGGTGAACAAAGGGAATGGATTAAACATTTTTCTTGCCTATGCTGTGAGAACTACCACAGGGCAACTAAATAGGTGATGAAAAAAAAAGTCTTCATGGAAAAATTCCAGCCCCAAAATGAAGAAGGAAAGTTAGAATACCATTTTGCCATCCCTAATGAATGAACATTTAGGAGATAATCAACAATGGATGTTAAGTCAACGAACACTGAAAAAAGTCAAGATAGACAACATTTAAACACACTCGTCTTGATATTAACAAAAAAAGAGGACAACCAGACATCACTGGCCTCTTAATGTGATGTAACAGATAAAGAACACAGACATGTGAGGCTGAACCAAACACTGAGCAGGCCTCAAGAAATTACGTTTACATAGAGGACAGAGGAACATCTCAACAAATGGCACCACAAGACAACCTGACCAAATCCAGAATGCAGAAAATGCCTTAGAACAAATAAGCCAGTTTCTTTAAAAACATAAATGGAAGAGGGAGGAAATAAAGGAGAGGGAACCTATAATAAAAGAACACTTAAGAGATACACTAAAAATGATGTCATGGGTTAATTGACCTCCTATCTTAGCCCTTCCCAAGGGGAGGTACTTGTACCTAGTGGGCCTTCTGACTGTCAGCTTTGCAAAGCATGGGTCACACTTTAAGCTTATCTTACCTGCTGAGTCTGGGCCTGCTGCTGCTGCTGCTGGTAAAATGCACCTGCTGGCTGTTGTGGTTGTGATGCCTGTGGCTGCTGCTGTGGCTGTGGCTGCTGTGGCTGCTGCTGTTGCTTGAGGAAGAGCTGCTGCTGGTGCTGGGGTGTGGCCTGGGCCTGGGTGGGCAGACCCTGGGCTTGGGTAGAAGGCGTGGGCTGAGGGATGGGTGAAGCCTGTGGCTGCTTGGGCTGAGATTGTGCCAGAGGCTGGCTGGGTGGGGGTTGCGCTTTTGGTTGGGGAACACTGGCCAAAAGACCAGGCTGATTGCTGGGTCCTGCAATGAGAATAAACACCATTTCAGGGTTCAAGACTTCCAGACACTAGCTGCTTTCCCATTGCTGAAGCAGTAAAGAGGGAGTGATAAATAAGCAGCATGTCCCAAGATCCGTGTGCTCCTCACTGTCTTTCCACATGCTCTGTTCTACTTGGATGGTCTTTCCATCTTCTTGCTAAACACTATGTGCTTCAATATTTTCAAACCAGAGTTAAATAATAAGATTCAATACTTGGTTCCTTCAGAGTCTTCCCTTAGCCATCATCCCTTTTATACTCTTATAATCCACACGCTGAGTATCTACATAGTCACCCGGCAACTGATGCTACCATACATCAACACAATCTCTACATCAGACTGTATGGTACACAACAGAAGCATCTTACACAACCCCCACCTGGATGACTTGTTGTGAGTAGATGGTCACCAAATGCACCCAAAGCAGCTTCTTGTAGGGGAGTGAGGGTTGTGTGCAGTTACTTGACACTCTGGATCAGTCCTCTTTAGGAAACACAAAGCTCACTCATCTCATTAGAAACAGAATGTGAAAATGGGTGACAGATACTTTAAGACACAAAGCACAAAAGAAACAATATTCCTCTGTGAGTGTCAAAAAGAGGTGAGCCAAGTCTTATTACAAGCAAGGAGAAATGTATGAAACAAAGAAGTAATGGGCTGCGGATTTAGCTCAGTGGAGCCACACCTGCCTAGCAAATGCAAGGTCCCGAATTTGATCACCAGTACCGCAAAAAAAAAAAAAAAAAAAAAAAAAAAAAAAAAAAAAAAAGAAAAGAAAAGAAAAGAAAAGAAAAATAAATAAAAAAAGCAGTAGTATGGCATGAACAGACCAAACTACAAAATTAGGACCAAAAAGAAAAAAACAGAGAAAACAGATTACAGTGGTCTCTGGGATCCACCTGAGAAGACAATGAGAGGTCTCCCCACTGCAGCCACTTGCCATAAATTTCAGTGCTGGCTCACTTCAATTGTTTATGCACTTCTGGACTCCATTTCTAAAGCGCTGACAGGTTTTCCAACACTTCCATGACAAAGAGACTGAGTTGCAAGCCAGTCTAGTTACTAACCTGCAGCCTGAGGTAGAGGCTGAACTGTGGCCCTCTTTCGAGGCGTCAGGGCTGGCTGAATGGGAAGAATTCCTGGGTTTGGCTGAGTCTGTCCAGCTTTAGGCCTCTGGCGGGGTGCAATTGAAGTCTCTGTAGTGGGAATGGGATCTGTCAGTCTAGAAAATGAAAAGCAAAAAAGAAGTTCATTCAAGTTAAAGTGTGGGAAAATAAGAGGGGTGGGCAGAGTACGCCACGCACTCCCCACAACACTTCTCCAAAACTTGTAGATATCCTTAATCAATTATTTCCAAAAGGTGGGCCACAGAATGTTATGGTGTTACTAAATGTATTGAAAAAATGTTTGGTAGGCAAGTAAATTTTTAATACACTAACCAAAATATACAGAGCAGATTTCTTTCCAGCAGAGCTTTTCATGTATGAAGGTAGTGGGTGAATCTCGAGAGTACTATACAGAATGCTGTTTCTTAAGCTTATTGGTTCTTCGGACCTGTTATGGTTTGTATCTAGAACCCCTGAGAAGTGTGTGATGGGCACATAGGCAAAGCTCTTGGAAGGTGACTAAATTATGGGGGAACTACAGCTGATGTGTTATTAGGAGTAGGGCCTGGTTAGACGTGAGGCCCTGGGCGTTTGACCTGGCGGGGTGCCTCTCCTTCTCCAGCTCTTCCCTTCACTCTCGCTTCCCTGCTGCCATGACTTGAGCAACTTTTCTCTGCCTAGGTCTTTCTGCCATGCCGTTTCTGTGTTTAAACCTGCCAAACATGGACTAAAACTTCTGAACTGTGAGGCCAAAATAAACCTCCCCTCCTTTAAATTGTAGATACTGTACTGGGTATTTTGCGCCAGGGACAAGGGAAGTGACTGAGTCAGGACCCTTCCACTCAATACTTCCTAGGGTTTCCTAGAATACATGCTGGATGACAACACAAAGGGGGCTTTGAGGCAGGTAGTTTTTAGATATAGAAGGAATTGAAACATGGTTTGAACTAGTAGCTGTCAAAATGGCCCCTCTACAATGAACAGCAGGCAAATGAGTGGATCCAACATGGCAACTGGAAGCAATAAGTTGTGGAAAAAAAAAATACCTTCTATACACGACTGTTACACTGGACTTTATGTAGCAGCTATACCTAATCTAAACTAATGCAAGGAGGACTGCTGCATCATCTACTTGCTCCTTGTGATGGTGCTGAACTTCCTTTCATTTACAGTAGTCCAGGTAGCTGGCTACTACCTAACTCTGATCAGTCAATTGTTCTTCAAACTTACACTTTAGGGAATACAGCAGAGGTTGAGGCCAAAATAAATAAGCTTCATGAGTATTTCCAGAACATGTCTGAAATAGCTTCCATGAAATGAAAAACAGGAAGCAAAGGAGCCGGCCCCAGGTTGTTCCCTAACTTCCACAACCCCAAGATATGTTCCTCTTCCATACAGAAACTTTTCACTGGCATCCTGTTAGAGAGAAGCTCTGTACTGCTTGGAATACTGGGAATATAAAAGCTATCACATCTGGGGAGGCTGCAACGTGGAGAAAGGAGATTGGAGGGGAAATGGAACAGACACTGGAGAACAGAGAAAGATACAGGAAAACACACTGAGTAAGGAAAGTAAACAGATTCCTGTGAAAATCCAAACGTGAGACCCTCCACACTGGTCTTCTCCTGAGGGGAACGTAAGATATAGTCAAAGAAACTACGTATGAGCTCTGGCTCTCTACTAACTGTGTGACAAAGGCCATGTCATATCTTTCAGCCTTGTTCCCTTATGTGTAAAATGTGGAAATGTGTCTATGCATTGGTAACTATGAAATCAGTTTATTAACAACAGCATATCCAAAATGTTAGCTTGTAAGGACCGCAATGTGTGTACTTTGTGGGAAGAGAGAAAGCAATCCTTGTTTAGCTTCTATGTAAATATTTTTGGGACTCATATAAGAAGGCTCTAAATTCAAAAGACTAAGCTAAGTAAAATAAACCCCCCAAATGATTTCCAAAGAGGTGAGCATGGCAATCTTACTATAAAAAATCAACAAACTACAAAGCAACACATATTTTGCTTGTCTGTTAAGCAAGTCTGCTAAAAAACAAAATCATTTTTCTTTAAAGGCACACCTGGAACAACTATGCATATAGTGGGTATTCTATAAATATTCAAGATCTTTTAAAATACAAGATTTTTTTACTATTCTATTAAAATTCACATAGTCACTAAGATCTAGGATCCTATACTGACACAGTTTACTGCTGACATTTCCTTGGAAGGACAAGGAAGGATATACAGTACCTCCTGTGCTATGCCCCAGAATTTACCACTTGTAAGATATGGCAGCTATGAGGATGTGCCTGACATCATCTTCAGTACAGGCAGTGTGAAAGACCTTATGCCCCTGCTGCTGTGCTCTAAATATCCAACACAGAGTTTGCCCCGAAGCCGTAATTTTTCCCTGGCCTCATATTCCAAATGTAAAGTCTCCTGGAAGGAAGGGGACTCCTCTGCTCGCTTCCTTTGAAGCAAGGACCTCTTAACATATTTGGTGATGGATTCAAACTAGCACTCTCCTTCCTTTCTCTGGGTCACATTGCACCTTCTGTGGGTTCTCCCAACCTTTACTGGCTCCTTCTCTGTTCATTCTCTCTCTCTCTCTCTCTCCCTCCCTCCCTCCCTCCCTCTCTCATCTTTCTTTTCCCCGCTCCCTCTCCATCCCCACTTCGTCTCCTACTTGGGCATTTCCCTCAGTCGTATCTTTAGGTGGTTAATCATTTCTTAGCACCTGCATCCTAGAAGCCACTAGGTGGCAAGAATGTGATAAGCTAAGACCCACAAGGTCTTTTGCTGTTCATCAACTTGCTGCTTTGTCCTGCACTTCCCTAACATGGCTGGAGTCACAGAGGGAAGAAGGAAAAGAAGGTGGAGGATTAGGGTAGTGAACATGGCTAACCACAAGCCAGGACACACTGTAGGACACTTGTACTGGCAACATTTAAAATCGACCTGGCCTCATCTCTGAATGCCCCACTGTCATTCCTGCACAAGAAAAACATTTGTAGGATGCTCAGTTCTCTTTCAAATGTAGGTGACAGTATTTCATCATAGTCTTCTTGGCATTTCTGCCGAAGGGAGACAGAGATTCCTTTCCCCATCTGATCATGGCAGCACGAGAGTCAAGAAACACAAGGTATCCTTCCCTGCTGCTGCACTGCCTCCAGCAGGATGTGTGCTCATGAAGGCGTTTCTTACCTGGCCTTTGGCTGGGTCTTTTTTGCAGCTGCCTCACTGGCTTTCACTGGCTCAGGAAGCTTTGAAGGAATGGGCGCGTTCTAAGAGTTAACAGAAGAAACAAGAAAAGGTTATCACAGAAGGAAGAAACAACAAAAGGTTATCTCTTTGTAAAAGAACAACCAGCCTGTCAGGATGGACAAAAATACATGACATTTGACAATCTTTCACTGTGACTTCTAGCCCTGTCCCCTTGGTAGAGGGAAGAGAAGTTAACCAAGTAAGACTCAGTCACTGTCAGGGAAATAAAGTGCCTGAGAAGATGAGACAGCAGGCAGCATGCAGTATATTCTTCCCATTACTCTTCCCCTTCTGCATTGGGCTCAGCTCACGATGGCCTGATCGTGGTCCCTTCTCTCCTACTACTCAGCTTCGAAGTGATGTCATAAAAGGACTGGGAAAGAGAGATTGCACTGTTCAACTTCCCAGGTACATCTCAGAGAAGTTAGATCTGACCTGGGTGCCCACCAGGGTGTACTCAGGCTTCCAGGGAAGATGCTGGGAAGACAACAGTGCCACCTGCTGTTTGCTGTGGCTGCTTAGCCAGCACCCCTTCCCAATGCAGGAGGCACTACTGGATGGATCCACAAGCCAAATAGCATTCCTGCAGGTCATATTCTGCACCACCCAATATTGCTTCTTGGATCTTTGTTGTTGTTTTCCTGCAATACTGGGCATTGTGCCTGAGGCCTCACTTGTGCTAAGCAAGGCCTCTGCCACTGAGCTACATCCTCAGCCTTTTTTATTTTTAAGACAGGGTCTTGCTAAACTGGCCTGGCTGACTTTGAACTTGTGATCCTCCTGTCTCACACTCCTGTCTAGCTAGCATGATAGGTGTGTATGGAGGGAGTACCAGCGGGGTGTCCTGAACCATACAAGGCAATGACGTACCACTCCTGAGTGAGTTCCAAATGGCACGTGTTATGGTTTGGATCAAGAATGACCCCCAAAGGCCTATGAACTCACAGGCAGAGCTTCCAGAAGATGACTGAATCAGGGAGGTGCTACCCTGACTTGCGGCTGGGAGGTGGGGCCTGGTTAGAGGCAGGTCATTGCGGGTGTGACAAGGAAAAGGCTCCTCCCTTCTCTCTTGGCTTTCTGGTCACCAGGACATAAGCAGCTTTGCTCTGCCTAGGCCCTTCCACTACATTCTTTCTGCCTTGGAACCAGCAGATCATGGACTGAAAAATGAGCCAAAATGAACTTCTCCTTTAAGTTGTGGGTATCGAGCACTGTGTCACAGCAATGAAAAAAGTGACTAAGACAACATGAGACTTGCAAAGTTTACTTTTTAAAAACTAGTTTCCAGTCTGAATGCTTTCAATTATATTTCATGTTATTTACTGTGTGAATGGGAAAAGGAGACTGCAAAAAAAATGTTAAAACACAGTCATGTAAAGTTACTATACTGTAGCCTTTGTTTCAATTTGGGTCACCTGACAAACAGAATACTAGCTATAATGCTGGCTTTTAGGAAGGTCTTCCTATTTCCTGACATTAGTCCCCCAGGAGGGACTAATGTCCACTAGAAAACTTGTCCTCCACCTGTCCAGCATTCTTTTACCATGGAGAAGAACTGGCAAAAAGCATCGAATTTACCTGGGTTATCCTGCTCTTCTTCCTTTCTGGAACAGCCTGCCCTTCAGGAATCAGGGATTTTCATCTAAGTCATACAGACCTAATGTGAGGGAAGCTATATCTTCTGACTCTGAGGACCATCTAAATGAGAACCACTGCTGATTCGAATGTGGCAGAGAAGGAGGGGAGTTATTTATCAGCACCCCTCAAGTACGAAGGGTGACATCAAAAGTTCATCATCAGAGAAACTAGCAAGAAAATTTCAGACTAGAATCTATTCATTAGAGCATCCATCAGTAAAATATTTAAGAGAACCGGACCATGATATGACATAAAATATGCCAAGATTATAAAGAAGGAGTTTGTAGAACATTTTATTCCAAAAACTGAGTGCAGGGTTTAGGATTACTAAGTGCAGAAAACAAAAACGTGTTCACGTTTCAATGGGTGCAGGGAGGGTAGAGAAAGATGAATGTGGATGACAAATGGCCAAGAGCAGAAGCAAAATCAAGAAAGCACAAAGCAAGGACAGGGAGGAGGGGCTGTCTCTGCAGAAGGCTGGAGGCAAGTCAGGATCGTGCCTCGGGGAGGCCGAGTGTCTGATCACTTCTAGGAAATACAACAGGCTGTGGCTGAGTGACCAGTGTGAGACAAGACATGAAACTGGCCACTCTTCACCCAAAGCTTTCCACTTGATCCCTGGAACATTTTTTATTTCGTAACTGCCTTGGGTTTATGATTAAATTCCACAGGAAAATTGCATTCTCTTTATAGCAACTGTTTCATAGTTAGCTTTGCTTGAATGCTCCGTTTTTTTTTTTTTTTTTT